TAATAAAATATAAAATTACTGTAAATTAACTTTAATTTTTATTTTTTTTACTAAAATATTATACAATATTTTTATTTATTTTCTATATAAAATCAAAGGACAAGATTGTTTATTCGAATAACTTTAATCAATAATTTTTATTTAAAACTTTTCCTTTTACAAATTTTAATACAAACTTAAAAAAATAGTTTTTCTTTTGCTACAAACTTGAAAAGAAAAGTGATTGGCCTGAAGATTAATTTATTTATTGAGCTTCTAGCTGCTACAGTAATTTGCTATGATATACGGATCATAAAATTTTATCTTATCTTAGATATAATATTTTTTTAAACTTAAAAACTAAAAAAGCCTTGTTATGCCAAGCCTAAACATAAGTTAAAAAAAAAACAAGAAGAGTACTAAGCCATAAATGTAAAATATAGCTGAGTATATAAATTACTAACATGTATAAATAATGCATTCAAACTAAACAGTATAATATTTAAAAACATGAAATATAATAATATACAGTTTGTACTGTACAGTACATATAATCACACAAATAGTAATATTAACATAGAGTGACTAAACAAGTCTCAACAGTTATAACTTTCAAGAATCCAAGAATAAACATTGCAGGTCCTTTAATTAACTTACGCCAATGTTTATTCTATTTATTGCATTATTAGTAAATTAATTAAGTTATTGAAATTTAAAAACTATTTAGTATCAAGTTGATTTTTCATAAAACATTAGGAATTTCAGAAACAGTATATTTTTACTAGATTTCTATTTTTAATGCGTTATTAAGTAGGCCTACTGTAGAATCGTTGAAAAACTAAACATAAAAAATAAGAGAAATGTTGAGAAGAGCTTTCTGTGAATTTGGAAAAGTATTTTATGAGCTTTTTTAAATCTTTAAACATTTTAAAAACATGACTAATTATAGAATTAAAATTAAAATTATTTTAAAATGCCATTTTCAAGGTGAAAAATAAAATATTAATCTTAATAAAACTTAATTTTGTATAATTAAAAACCACAAAGAAATTTTTTATATAACTGATAATTTATGATTTCTGTTTATATTAATTAAAATTATATATAGGCTATTGGATTGTTATGAGAAATTTCGAAGCCAATACTGTAATTCGAATTAAGTATGATTTCCACTGTTGCTCAATAAAAATCAAATGTCAGAGCATTAAAAACATGTAATTTTGAATTGACAGTTGCAAACCCATAATTAATCTCATTTAAACTAATTAATGATTCAAATAATATAAATAATTAAGAAGAACAGACAACAAAAATTTGGATGTTACTTTAATTCGTAGATTAGTTATTTATTACGTAAATTGACTTAAAAAGATTAACTTTGAATTATCCGAATCTTAATAAAGTATATAAAATATATTTATTCAATTTAAGTTTTTAAATTTTAATACATTAAATTAATATTTAAATGTTTGAAAATAGATTTACGTTACAAGCATGTATATAACTGATGGACTTGCAGTCTACGAATGTAATATTTTTATTATTAAATTTGTTTTTCTCACCTGGATTGTTGACCCATTCTTGGAGAGCCTTTTGGAGCCTTCGGACATGGAGCGGCTTGCTAGCCATGCCCACGAGCGCCATGATCTCCAGGAACTCCTCCTCTCCAGCTTCGCAGAGCTGTTGAACATCGTCACCCCCTACAAGAAAGAGAAAAGATATCGACCGTTAGTTAATATTATATTCTTGCTGTGTGAAATTATCAGTAGTGATAGCTAAAATATGTTTCTTTCCAAAATGTGATTACTTATTTTGTAGACTTTCTAAGCTGCAGTAGTTTATTAACACTCTTGAATTAAATGTTGATGTCCATTCAATTTACCAGGTAGAATTAGTTTTCATTTTTTAATTAAAATTCCTAATTAAATAAATCTTGCTGAAATTAAAAACTTTGGCTTCTAAATTTATGCAAAGATACATACTTTTAATACAATTTACAAATCTGTTTAATAATTGCATTATAAAACCTACGTAATCTAAAATTTTAGAAATATATAAAACTAACATACAACTGTTAATTTAATATATTTAAAAATTTTTACATTATGTTAATTCTCTATATTATGAAAATGACAATTTTATTATTAATAGATAAATTAAAAACACCATGATAAGTTTGAATTTCTTTAACAAAATAGACTTTTCTATACTTTCAAAAGTCTGATAATATGACCACATAAAAAGTATTCACTTAATTATTAGAAATAAATGATACTTATTTAAATAATTAATTGAATTATGAGTTTTCATACTAAACAATTGCTTTATTTTTAATGAATTATTTCTCAATAAAAAGTATTCGTCCTCCTTATTTTATGCAGGCTTTGAAATCATAATATAATATATAGTTATAATAGCTATATTATAACGCAAACAATACGTCAATTTTTTAAATAAAAAAATAGACGTATTATTAGTTTCTTATCTACGTAATATTATTGTTAGTTTATCTATATATTATTAGTTTAAAATATACCTATTATCAGTCTATCGCATTTTTTAACATTAACAGTTTTGATTTAAATATTAATGTAAGTTATTGTATCGTAATGAAACCCAATAATTTATTAGTTTAAAATAATATTCAAATAAATGCTATATATTTCGATACGCTAGGTTTATAATTTCTGTTGGTATAATATGAAAAATTTATTGTCTTTAAGAATTGATTATTTCGGAAAATATAATGCTAGTTTATATAATATTTCTTCGAAAAGAATACAAAGGAAATTGTTATTGTCTATAGATGATATCAAGTACGAATATAGGAAAGAGAAATGAACTCACAAAGTTTCCTTTTTGAAGTAATTATGTGAAAGAAAATAAACTCAAGATTGTTTTATTTAATACAAATAAAACATTTTCGACTTTCATACTCTATTATGATATAAACATTTCAATACTAAATTTTTCTTATTATTAAATATTTCTTTTATTTTCTATTACCATTCTATTCATATCTAAGATGAGTTTTTAAATCTCCACGAAGAATTTCAATTATGTATTTTCTATAATATTATGACATAACAAGGATAACACCTCAAATGTTTACATTTTTGTTTTTAAAATTTTAAATATAAAAAACAAACAATTTTTAATGTAATTACAATTATATTAGAGAATACAAAAGAAAATTATAATGCGCATATTGTTATTAATTGCGCATATATTCACATAAAATTACGTGTACTGTACTCTACAGCTCAATACATGTGTTTTAATTATTACGTATTAATCTATAGGATTATTTTCATTATAAAATTTAAAACTTAAATTTGAGATAACTGAATCAAAATGTGATTCATTCTTATAAAACTCTTAGTTTTTTGCACAGTTTACAATAACATGAATTTTTTAAAATAAATTTAATATATGTAAAGTCTGTAATCATCCACTAGATAGGTCCAATTATGAGAAAATTTAAACCCTGATATATATATACGATTTTAATTAGCTTTATCGAGAATATTTATAAATTATTGTGTTATAACGTAAAAGTATGAATGAATAGAAACATATAGCTAATATTAATGTTAATTGGAAGTATGTTAATAGCTAAATTCATTTAACAATCTTAAGATTTAATCTTTAAATCGGCATTTTCTTTTAATTGTTTTGATACTTCTCAAATAATATATCTATGACAATAATAATATGTCACTTTAATCGGTTATTACTGATTAGGTTTATACTGCTTTTAGTTAAAATATATAGTCTATCTTAATTAAATAAATCATAATAATATTAAATATTTATAAAATACTTTACGTCTAATTTAATTTATTAATTTTTATTTTCATAGTTTAGATTTTTGAGTTATTAATTCTTTTAATTTCCTAATAATAATATGAAATTCGCTTATTATTTTCAATTTTATTTCTGTGTATTATCTTTACTTTTCGTTGTATAGCTTATCTTTCAAACTAAACATTGAATTAGACCATTTCTAAACTCTAAACATATATATATGTAATAGGATGAAATTATTATTTTTTTAAGACAAAAACAAAATATTTGAGAATTTTTATACTTATTTTATTTAGAATTTTGAAGAAATGTTTTATAAATTTTTTACAGAAAAATTATAAATATTTAAAAAATGTTTAACATTTACAATTAAGAAATAGGCCTAAATAAAAATCACAAGTTAAAAATTTACACATAATCTGTGTATTAATAAGCATAATGTTATCGTTATTCGTTTTTATTTTTTTAACATAAAATAAGTATTTATTCTGTAAAATGTCAAAACAAAGTTAGAAACACAAAATTTTAATATAATTGAAGTTATTTATAGTTAATTTTATAATTTACATTAAAAATTATATTCAGAGAAGATAGCATCAAAATTTATACCTCACGATATCTTAAAATCAATTTCTATCAGCCGATAAATGTAAATTTTAATTGTAAATCAGAATACAAATTATTGACATTATGATAAACATTATATTAAATTATAAATAAGCATTTACATAAACTTTTATTTTCTACGTTCAACAGAACATTTAGATTTTTTCTTTCAAATGTCTGTTTAAGACTTTGGAACTAATTAATTAGACCTCATGATTAGACTTCAGAAACATTTAATATAATTTAAGTATTCTATTCACAACAGATATTTAAAATCGTATTAAACAATAGTGCAGCTGTTAAAAATATTTGTATAAAAATTTCTTAAAAATTTGAGATAAAATAAACAACTTTAAAAGATTTATTTAGTGGCATTTATTTAATTTAAATTATAACTATGAAATATTACAATGAACTCATTTTTTAAAATTATAGATAAGGATTAACAGCTTTAAACAGTATGAAAGTCATTCCTTCGAAAATTAAATATACCTACAGTACACATACAAACTCAACTATTTTATATAAATGTTCTTATATTTAGGCAAAGTAATAATCCCAATAGTGATATAGTGTAACGTATTTAACTCTTTTACATAGCGTATTTACTCAGATTTTTCGTTTAAATTTTTAAACAATTTTATCTTGATATGAGTGTGAGGCTATCTAATTTACCCGGTTTGGAAAAATTAAATATCTTTTAATCTAAATTTCCTTAAAAGTATAAATATATTTCAGTAGTATTTAAAGATAAGTTAATTTACTTGAGTTAATAAATATTGGAAAAAACAAATTTAACTGAAAAAATTATATAGTCTATCACAAAATTCATGTTTTATTTTTAAAATATCATTTTTGTGGCTTAACAAAACGATCTAAACTACTGTTTATATAATATATAACCGATGAATTACAATTGTTTTTTTCATTATGACTTTTTACATTCTAAAAATGTGTAAAAAAATACTCAGATTAAACAATAATTGCCTATTATAAAAAGTATAGGAATAAAAAACTGTTGTCATTCAATTTAACTACAATTTTATTCAAAAAGTTTTAAAAAAATGTAGTTAAATTATTTTCTTTTGGTTTCCAGCTATAAACATTGGACTCTAAATCTGGAGCGTTAAAGTTAATGTTATCTCAGATATTATTTAAACGTAAACGTTTCAGATAGAATTTCTAAGTTTTTAAGAAATGTTTAAATTTTTAAGTCCAATATAATTACTATATAATAATATATTTGGTCAGTCTAAGCATAGCTAAATTATTACAGTATTTATTATCTATAAATAACTGAAAAGGGTAGAGGTTTCCAATTAAATAAAAATTATTTGATGATACTTCTATATAGAATAAGTTTTAGACTATAAGTCTATATTTATGCGTCTAAAATTGCATTTACCGCAAGTCTCATTAGGCGTAATAANTTTTTAAAATTTTAAATATAAAAAACAAACAATTTTTAATGTAATTACAATTATATTAGAGAATACAAAAGAAAATTATAATGCGCATATTGTTATTAATTGCGCATATATTCACATAAAATTACGTGTACTGTACTCTACAGCTCAATACATGTGTTTTAATTATTACGTATTAATCTATAGGATTATTTTCATTATAAAATTTAAAACTTAAATTTGAGATAACTGAATCAAAATGTGATTCATTCTTATAAAACTCTTAGTTTTTTGCACAGTTTACAATAACATGAATTTTTTAAAATAAATTTAATATATGTAAAGTCTGTAATCATCCACTAGATAGGTCCAATTATGAGAAAATTTAAACCCTGATATATATATACGATTTTAATTAGCTTTATCGAGAATATTTATAAATTATTGTGTTATAACGTAAAAGTATGAATGAATAGAAACATATAGCTAATATTAATGTTAATTGGAAGTATGTTAATAGCTAAATTCATTTAACAATCTTAAGATTTAATCTTTAAATCGGCATTTTCTTTTAATTGTTTTGATACTTCTCAAATAATATATCTATGACAATAATAATATGTCACTTTAATCGGTTATTACTGATTAGGTTTATACTGCTTTTAGTTAAAATATATAGTCTATCTTAATTAAATAAATCATAATAATATTAAATATTTATAAAATACTTTACGTCTAATTTAATTTATTAATTTTTATTTTCATAGTTTAGATTTTTGAGTTATTAATTCTTTTAATTTCCTAATAATAATATGAAATTCGCTTATTATTTTCAATTTTATTTCTGTGTATTATCTTTACTTTTCGTTGTATAGCTTATC